AGAGCTTAATAAGTCCTTAGTGGCACTCAATATATTGAAATTTTTAATAAATGGATATTCGATGAGTTTGGATGAAGTTTAAGGGGAAGGCTGGATGTATTTAAGTTTTGAGATGGTTGTCAAGTGATTTTGAAATTTTTAGACTATTGATGAGCTGAATATGATTTATCAGAAGCTCAAACTCGACATTTACCACTGATTTTCAGGATTTTGGTATGTTAACCAAGAGTTTGGTATGTTAACCACAGGTTTTTAATGGCTGTGATACTGTATATAGCTATAAACTCCTAAATTTAAACTGGAAGATTTGAAATTCAATTTTTTGAATGTCAGGTAGACATCATGCCACCAACACAACGCTGTGCTAATGGCAAGATGTCACAGATACAGAGAGGCACCCTTCAAGTACCCTCAAGGCTCGGGCAATTTATACCAAAAACTTTCTGGTTGCGCAACTGGACTTGATGCATCAAATCTCTTTTCTTAATGTTAGAGAGCCATAAAAATGCACATAATTCCAGCATTTGAGATAAATTGAGGATCTACCAATAACTCTAAAGTCCCTAAAATTCACAATTTAATCCACGTCAACCCATTTTTTGATAAGCCTCGTCTTTACATCTTAATCAATTACTCCCATTTGTTCAATTTTAAGCACAATTAACCACAAAATCCAAAAAAGACACTTGAAATATTTAAAACATTTTCCGAGAATTCCCAAACAAATTAATTTAATTTTCCAGAATATTGAAAACAGGAAGAATATCGGAAATACAACTCTTTTTTATTAAATTCCTCATTTTCTCTTTTCGCATCATCCATAGAGGATGAAAAAAAAATATGTACATAATGTTCATTTGCCAAATTGGATCGGCGTGTGATATTTTTTTATCAGCCCTCATTGCAGCTCGTGAATGAAAATTGATGCAAAAAAAAAGAAATTAACATTCCGCATTCATACTGCGGAAAATTGAAGTGTGTACATTTGCCAAACAGTGTTTTTGTTCACTTTATTGAATGCATACAGCGCGCGAGAGATGAGAAGAAAAAAATTTAAAAATTATGCATTGATATAAAATACAGCAAAATAACAAGGCGTTGGTGCATAAAAAAAATTATTGTTCGATGATGAATGAAAAGGAATAAGGCACGTACAATACTCAAAATATACGAGAGTACGCTCGAGATTGAAAGGTCGGAAGTAATTTTTTATATCTCTTTGATTCATTTATTCGCTTTTTTTTTGTAGACGCAGATTAAATTATTTGATGAATTAGTTTGAACATAAATTTATTATTATTCAAAAAGTATTATAAATAAATATTGCAAAAAAATAGAGAAAACTACAGCGGACAAAAAAAAGTATAGAGACAAAAACCGCACAAACCATTAAAATAGCATACACAATTTTAAAATAATAATAATTCTACATTTTTCATTCCTAATTTCTATTACTTTGGACATGCATTATAATTTTTTTAATTTAGCAAAATTCCCACAAAGCAGTTTTTAACGTAAATGTGGCTTTTATGGTGATGGTCTAATTGTAATGAAGGATAGAGGAGATGTTTAAGCATGCAAATGATTAGTACGCAAATTATTTTTACGAATGGGTTGAGCAGACTTTTGTCATGAAATTACACATTCTTGAAACTTTTTCTTAATTGTTTTTTTTAATTTTTGAAGACTTATAATTGGTTTTGGACTATAATAAGGAGGTTTGATGTCCCTTATCCTACACCTATGATCTTATAGCCCTGATTAAGGTCAATAACTTTACATAAAAGTAAAATAATAACGAAGTCTAATTAAAATCATCAAAACACTGCAAAAAGCTCATCAAAAGAGATTTAAAATTAAAAATCTCACAGTTTTTCAAATAGACATTTCCAGCAGGCTTAAAACTGCACCACTATGACATTCACAACTATGATGAAAATTAAAATGAACACAATAAACCCATCTCCTTTTGCAAGGCAAATTCAAATACAGAGCACATGGAAAAACTGCAAAGCGCATTAAATGGAAATGAAAATTAATTTAATGAATTTAATGAATAAGTTTTAATTAGTGCGCCAAAGGGGAAGATTCACCCGTAAAAGCATTTTATTCATATATCTTTTATATTTAGAATGACAAAAAAAGCAGCGAAACTCTTTTCACTGGAATTGTTTATCAATTATGCATTTGGGTAGGATTCAAAAACTTTTCATCATGCTGTAGGCATTAAACTTTCATGTCACTGTTACATGATGGAAGCTCTGTATAATTAATAGACCTAAAGCCATTGAGCGTGTTTAGAGAATGGACCAAAATAAATTTTTTAACATTAGCTGTTTACCTTGCGGCATAAAAATGTCTGTTTGAGTTTGCAGAAATGAAAATTAATTTTTTTTTGTCCTTCTGAAAATATTTTCTCATTTAAAACTCCTCCTCAATCTTCCTTAAAATGTCTGCTTTTATTATTAATATTAATATTATATTTTCATGATAAAGGTTATGGCATTCTGTCATATTTCTGTTATATCTAAAATTATGAAAGATGCCAGAAATATTTGCAAATGTTGCCATCTAGTCCAAAAAAAATAATAATAATATCAATGTCTTAGATATAAAAGGGTCCAGTGAAAGTTAATATAGTCTAAGAGTACATTGACACAAACTGTAACTGCCCTTAAGCATTGAGAAGGAAATAAGTTTGTAAAAAAAAATCAATAGACAGTTGCTGGAGGCAAAAAGGATTATCGTCATCAAAATTAATTCGAAATTAAATCCAGGCTGAATGGATTAAAAGTGTAAAATTGTAATTAATTTAATTTGTTTTAAAATTGAAACTTTAGAAACAGGAAATGGACTTTTTGAAAGAGGATAGACAATTATTTTTTGAGAATCATTGGAACAGAATGTTAATTTCAAGGGTAATTTGGCAATAATTTGAGTTTGTACTTTTAAACAATCCATTGAATAGGTTTCAATTGAAATTAGATCAGGGGTTGATTTCTAAGTACTGAACTTAAGTCAAACAATCAAAGTTTGTTAATACTACAGAACAAAGGAGATAGTAGGAAGCACAAGCTTCTGATAATACTAAGAACAATTCGAGAGTTCAAGCTAAATTTAATATTCTTAAGTTTCGAGTCTATCTGAATCAATCTCTGGACCACTGTTACACAAATGATGATTTATGTTATAGGAGTATGCTGACAAAGCCTTTATAAGTTTCGTCACCAGAATGTTCATATTCAAAACTAAGTGGTTTAATTTAAAGTCTTCAAAAATGATTAGATTAGTTTTCTTTCAATCAAGACTAAAATTTGATTTTTTGAGCTTGGAAGTTACAAGTTACATGCCCTTTGAAGATAGAGTAGCTTGGTTACAGTGCAACAGAACGTTACATCTCCTGTTTAAACCCATATCAATGCAACCGAAGGAAATTTCTTAAGAAATTCATTTAGATAATGTTCATTACTATGGATGTGGGTGTTAAGATAAAGTAAGACTGCTTATGAAATACTTATGTACTCTATTTCCATTTCTATTCATAGATATGAACTACAATCTTGCATTCTATTGTGATAAATATAGAAAGGATCATTAATAAAGTAAGTTTTATAATCAAGCCTGAATGAAAATTACAAAATATCATTCAAAAAGTTCAAAAACTTCTTAAATTAGCAACAATCTAATTATTCCGAGAACTGCCTCAATCTTTTATTTTTATCTCTTTATTAATATAAATCTGTCAAAATGGCAACAAAATCAACTTCCAACATAATTAAAACACTGTAAATCTTTATTGCCTTCTTCAATTTTAATTTGATTTACGGAAAATTTCCTAAATCAAAATTCATTTCCCAAAATAGCTGACAAATAATTCCAAGAAAAGTCTAATTTCACACAAAAATTAATTTTGGTAGTAAATCTCATAAAGTAGGTAGATGTAGTAGGAGGATTTTTGATTAAATAAAAACAATACACAAAATTTGATTATTATTTCTAACATTAAAAATAAAGCAAGCAGTAACGAAAAATAAAAATAAAATTTCTTATTAGCCAAAAAAGAAGCTAAGCAAAAGTTAAGAAAAATACACAATCCACGAAGCAAAATAATTTTTGGAGGGGAGAGAGTAAGTAATTAAAATGTACAGGAAGCAAGTCTAATAAGAGAAAAAAAAGGGGATCTTTTGGATGATGCGATGGAAAGGAATTATGATGGGATTCTTTTCCTTCTCTTTAACCTTTTTAAAAAGTTATGACGAAGAAGACGAAATAGGAATGGAATAATGAATGAGGTATGAAGTCAGAAAATATCATCTCACTGCTGAGTGTCTTAAGTAATTTAAAATTATACTGGTTTCTGAGAAAATTGAGCAAGGAAGGTAGTAAGTTCGACTTTACATGTGAAGCAGGTAATGTGCATTTTTGGTGACTATTTTGGGACAAATATGACTATTGTAGCTTTATGATGCCTCTAGAGTCAGAAAACGTTCATTTGCGTAGAGTAAGGCTCATTGAGGCCGAATAATGCCCATTGAGGTCGAGCAAGGCTAACTTAAGTCTAGTAAGGCACAATAGAGTCGAAGTAAACTCTTTCGGATCAACTGAGTCTGTTTTGGTTTCGAATGAGACTCACTAGAGTCAAAGAAGACTCTCTAGGATTGCATGAAACTCCTTAATATAAAAAAAGACTAAGCATTATTAGAATTATGTCATTTGGACCCAATGAAGTAAAAATAATCCATTGCTCAATTGTAGTATCACCCAAAATGGCATCAAAAGCTCACAAACCATGAAAATGTAAAAATAAACTTTAAAACTCATGCACCGTAAAGCTTATAATTTATTCAGCATAAAATGATCCTTTTCGACTGAATTGAAGGAAGTAAAAAGATAGTAAGACTTAAAGTAAAAAGGAGGAAGTTCAAGAGATATTTGGAAAATTAATCTAAAGGAAAGTGAAAGGAGATAACAAAAATAAGAAAAGATTCTTAGTCACTCACCTTCATCATCTGATGAATCTTCATTTGGGAATGCTGCATGCGATTCTGACCGACTTCTCTGTAGCACATGATTACTTTTTTGAACATCATTCATTGCTTGCTGTTGGTAATAAGTTTGATTCTGTTGAATCGTGAGTGGCGATTTCGGTGGTAAGTGTAAACTTTGTGTATTCATTGGTCCGTTTGGTGGTGGCACTGTTAATTGTGGACCTTTTCTCGTCAATGGCGATTGTAGCATTCGCTGTTTCCACTCGAGTAATCGCTTCATTGATTCCTCACGCTTCCTCTCACCATCCAAACGATTTGGATCTTCTTCACCTTTTTTGGTTGGCAAACGTGCACTAGCCGAACGTAAAAATTGCTCTTGTTGACTCAATTGTTGTTGTTGTTGTTGCTGCTGCTGCTGATGATTCTTACCGGCATGTCTTACACGTGGAACACTAGCTGATCCATTATGAATGTCTTCACTAATTTCGTAGCGATTAGCTCGAACCATGTCGATTTCACGTTGTAATGTCTGCGAGCTCATTGATGGATGAATCGATGATGATTCTGTATAAAAAAAGAAAATTCAATTACTAAACTTTGAAGTGGATGTGGACGATGAATTTGCTAGATATTGCAATAGGATCTAAAAATACATTCTTAATATAATTAATTAATTTAATAATTACCATCTTGTCTATTGTAATAAGGATCATTCATCCCCTTGCCATTGTTATTTTGGGCTGCTGGATTTTGCTTCTGCAAATACAAAGCACTCTGCCTCATCTTTTCAGCATAATTAGATTCTGAATAATAGACATTGTCCTGAGATCGATTAATATCTAAACTTGACTTTGGACGAGGTGCTTGTGCCGGTTCAGCCTTCATTCTTGTCGTCACTGGATTTCTCGCTTCATATTCTAAGAAATCAGCCGAATGTGGACGAGCTAATGACAATGACGGTTTATTTCTCATTGACACTTGTTGATGGTTTGTTGGTTGTTCGAGAAAGTTTGGTGTATAACGTTGTGGCATCGGTGGAATCTGCATATTATTATCATACTTTGTTGGACTCATCGGACGACGATATGCCATATCGTGAGTCGGTTGTTGTTGTTGTGCTATTTGTGGCATCACTTGCCCTCCATTTTTACCTAATTGATAAATATCCTCATAATCACCAAATTGACGTCGCGCTGATGGCCCATAAGTGTCAGGCGTTCTTCTCTCTGAATTATTAAATGCCATTGGCATAGTATTTGCTAAATATTTTTGTTGTTGCTGTAATTGCTGTTGATGAAGCATTAATTTCTGCATGTACTGCTCTTGCTCTAATGCACTTCGATGCGGTAAAGTCGATGGGGGCGATTTAAGTGCACTCGGTGATTTATTTTGTTCTAATCGCATTTGTTGCATACGTTGCATTAATACTGGATCAGGTGTCTTTGTCGTTGAACGATTGATTACTGGTGGAGGTGGTTGTTGCTGTTGTGGCAATGGCTGTTTGTAACCATAAATTGGATCTTGTCGCATCTGTCGCATTTGTCCGTACTGATCCATTGCATTCTCGGGTGACGGTGATGAATAGCCACAATCAGTTGCACGACGAGGCTTGGGCGGTGCATTTGCATACAATGGTTGATGACTATTATCTGATGCTGGTGTCACTGGACCAACATTATTGCTTCCACCGCTTCCCAGCTTAGTCTGTTGAGATTGGAATGTATGAATACCTGAATCACCTGAATTATCACCAAACGATGGATTATTGTACGACGATGTGATACTTGGCTGTGATTCTGATTCACTTGAGCCTTGCATCATTGCTGCCATCGTTAATGCTTTCACCCATTGTATTAAAGTTTCTCCTGACTCAGCAGCTAACACATATGTCCTCATGTTGGTATGCTCGCATTTAAATGCATATTTACGATTTGCCTTATCGTCTGGTGTGCATGCTGAAATTTTATACGATGGAAGTAACACAGAACCCATAATTTTCTCTTCTTCAGGTCCTTTGTAATAGAACAGAATATATTCACTAAGCACGAACCATCTCTTGCGCCACACCTTTAATCCTTCTGATCCTTGCTTCCATAACCAGCCTGATAGTGCAACGGGGGCATTTGGATGACGCTTTGCTACTGGCGATTTAAGAGAATGAACTGGCTCGCTCTTCCGCTTCTCTAATGTCGCATGTGTTGGTGTCATAGGTGTTGCAGGCGTACTCGGTGTTGTGGATGATGTTTCCGGCGATTTCATAGAACCCGATGATGTTGTTGTTTTCATACCACTCAATTGTGTCTGTACAGCTTGATTAACAACTTGTCCAGGTATGTTTTGTTGTATCATCGGCACATCCGTTGGTGTTTGCTGTAAATGTATTTGCTGTTGTTGATGGTGATACAATTGTTGTACAGCATGAATCTGTCGTTGCTGTGCTAATTGCCTCTCATTTTGAAGCATTAGTATTTGATGTTGTTGGGCTTGTATTGTATTATTAATTTTCATTGGACTCTGTGCTGGTTGGTATTGATTTTGTATGTTTAAACTTGATGGTGGAAGGTTTCGATTATTATTATTATTTGGATTATTATTCATCATGGTTTGTGGCACATTATTAAGTGACGACATATTTGACATAGATGAAGTTTGACTCGGAAAACTCGGCACTGGAGGATTCATTTGTTGTCTCATCGCAAACGTCTGTTGCTGATGCATTAAAGCTTCATTTTGAGTTCTAATTTGTTGCTGAATCTTTTCCTGTTCAAGTGCGTGAAATTGATGCTGTAATCTCAAGTTTGACGCCTGCTGTTGATGGACGGCTGGAAAATGTGCCGCCAATCTTGATTGATGATAAATTTTATCGGGCGCATTTGCACTCTGATAAATTTGATCATGATAACCTAATTGAGCTGATGATGAATTTTGGAGAGCCGCAGCTTTATGTAGTGCTGCTTGCTCCTGTGGATTATTTGTCATGTTTATGTGTGTGGCAAAATTTGATGCCAACGATTGATATTGAGGATAATTTTGGAAGACTGGTGATCGGGTTGGACGGAAGTCGTGATGATGCTGTAGACCCGGTGGTTTTGTTTGTGGCATAGGTGCCAAATGTGAGTTTGCTTGCTGTAATGCTTGCAATTTCTTGCTGTCCATTGTTGCAAACTGTGGGTCGATCCTAAAAGGGTGAAAAAAGAAGAGGTAAAATGTTAATAAATGTTGAAATATTGTGGGGCATGTAAACGAGACAACAGCAGGAATATCAATGATTTCGTAGCAAGCTATAGGCACTTATTGACATTTGAATATTTTTAAATGTAAAAATTCGATAAGGTTGATAGGATTAAGTGACATTTTATTGAAATTTATTCGTGGTAAGAATGTTGAACCATTTTGAACTGCTCATAAAATGTTATATCTAGCGAGGATACTTTTGTTTGCATCTCTTCCAAGAAGTACCTAAGCCTTGATGTTTGCTTTTCATCGTTATACACAATGATACGTGCGTACACAAGCGTATCCAAATAAATTATAATCTAAGTACAAACATAAATGTTGGTTCTGAATTGGATGTTTTATAGAATAGGAGTAAAACCACTTAAAGCACATATATATAAATTTGATTAACTCTTACCAATCCCATAGTTGCCACAAACATGATGTAAACATGATTCCAACGATAAACAATTCTCCTTATACTAATATATGATTATTTTTTTTTGTTTATTTATTTATTTTATTTTATGATAATTCGTTTTGTATATCCTATCTATTAACTTAGTGATTCTGTTGGAGATACTTTTTCAGTTACTAAATTGACTTGCCACGAAAAATTCTTTTATCGTTCGCTTTTCACTTCATTTACACATTTTTCTTTTCCTATTCACAGGAAAAATAATCGTCTCTATTTTATTGAATTTACATGCTCACTCCATTTCATATTGATTCTCTCTTTTGTCTCTTTAAATTCCATCATTTCTTTTCCTTTTATTCTATTTTCAGCACAAAAACTTGTGTTGACTACTCGTGTTAAGATAAAATTCCATTCTTCCTTTTCATGCCATCATTCTTATTTTTATTATTATTGTAATGCATAAGTAAACGTATGAAAATTTTCTGTATGTCTTTTTATTGTTGATGTGCCTTACTGTATGTTTTTTTGAAGTACAGAACAAAATTTTTCCTTTAAAGCAAATAAAATTATTTATGAAAATTTTATTTTTCTCTTTTATATTCTTGCAAAGCATAAGGCATAACAAATATGATCGTTCAATGTTGAGTTAAAATGTTTGGGAACAGCTTCAGAAAATGGAATAATATTTTTTTCAGGATAAGAAGAAAATTTAATTTCTTTTATGTAATTTTAAACTGTTTACTTGTTTTGTTGTGTAATTTGATTCTAAAAGAAGTTTATGCTTGTTTGTTGCTGACTTCAAACTCAAAAATGTAAGTATTTGATGGAAGAAAGGAGTCTTTTTGATTGGTAAACTTTGTGATATGCTTCAAAGAGCTTTTCTTAGAAAATTTGTGATTGTTTATTGAGTATACTTGCTTGTTGATATTAAAACGTTCTTTCTGCTTCAGTTAAAGCTACTTAATTGGTCTAATAATTAAATTAAAGTTTATTTTGACGATGTTTACTGTTTGAATTCTGAATGTTGAAATTTTGTGAACAACTCAAAGGGGTATGCAACTAGGAAAATTCAAATTTGAAAATTCCTTTATTTTACTATTTTATTATTTTGAAGTTTTGCTTAATTGTTTTTATTTCTTGAGAAATTGATATGTTTAAATTAGTACTTTTGTTATAATTTTTCAAAGAAAGGAGCTTCAAATAATCCAACATTTACTTCCATCTCAAGCATCAAAAGCAAGAATTTTTGATACTATAATTTAATCAAACAAAGACATTCTGCCATTTATCTAATTATAACAAGAATGTAAGTGATTAAAAATAATCCTTTAGTCAGTAAATTAAATTTTCTTCTTTCCATCCGATTTTCATTTCTGTTTTCTTTTAGCTGTTCACAATTCAGCGGCAAAAAAAAAGTTCTTAAAAATGTGAAAATGTTCTTTCGATGTATTTTTACTTCTTCTTGTGCCATTTACTTCTAAATGCCTTACAGAAGCATTAAGGAATTTTCATTTTGCCTTTTCTTGCTTAGCATGGAAATGAAAATGTTTTTTTTTTTTTCATTTCTGTCTTTCTGTTGAACGCAAGCAGCAACAGACAGGAATACGATGTGGAAAAAAAGGAAAGAAAAAAAAATCTCGTGTGTTTCATTTTCATTCGCAATTTTTCCTTTAACATCATACTTATACATGGGATTAAGAAGCAAAAAGCGAGGCCCATAAAAATTTGCAGAACATAGAAACTTTCTTAAGGTTTTTTATGGCCCGTACATTTATTTCTGTTCCTTTTTAAAGATATTGAAGGAAAACCTTTTCATCAATCCCATTAAAATTTTTTGCTTTCGGTATGAATTTCTCTCTCAAATACTGTTTTAAATCTTCTTTGACGCTAGATATAGCTTTTTATGCGCCTCACTCACATTTTACAGATCATGAATCATCTCTTTCGTGCTATTTTCAGTGCAAATTTATGTTGCTCATTGCGAATTTGTTGGATTTGTCGGTACAGTCCCACGTAATTTTCTTCTTTTAATGTCTGAATTTAAAATAGTTTTTAAGGAGGTTTAATGAGTATAATTTCGGTTTTCTTAAGAGCTTTTTAATATTTTAAGTAGGTATTCTGTGAAAACCTTGTCTAGTTTGTTAAGCTTTAGCGAGATTTGTAGCTTTTGGTCCCACCTTAACGACTAATGATCATTCATACTTGCTTTTTAACTTTATACCTCATTTTTGGATTGTTTTCAACAATTGCTCGTAGTTTCATGACTTTAGAGAACAACACAGAGTATCTGGTTTAATATTAAATGCTCTAGTTCCAGAATATGACTCAAAAAATGACAATCAATCAAAATGGATTGAAAAACCATTGGAATCGATCTCAGTACTAGTGAATCTACTACGCCAATGCAAACAGTGAGCCATTGCAGATAATTCAATACGCATAAAGGTTCTGATCTGGAAGGTCTGTATGTAGAATATAAAATTGATTGTCCAACTAGCTTTCTTAGTTCTCTCTACTATAATACACTAAGATACTAGTTACTATAGATATTCATAATCCAATGAATTTGATAAATCTTCCAATTCCACATGCCAATACTATCCAAGTCAAAAACGCAGCTCAAAGTCTCAAAATGCGCCACAATCCACTCTCAATTCCCAACTCAACGCATTTAATTTCACAAATAGAAATGGCAAAAGAAAAGAAAATCTACACACGTCTCATTTTGTTTTGTGCTAAGTAATGTACTTAAGTCATAAATCACGATGAGGAATCTCTATCATTCCGTTCTGCATGAGAAAGTCTCAGCAGAACACACACGAATAGAACAACAAAAAAAGAAAGCAGCACAGAATGGCAAATGGGAGAACAAGAAGAATTATCGTAAAAAAATGTAAGCAATAGACGATGGAGGAAGAAGAAGAATGAATTCAAATTGGCATATCGAATAAATGTGTCGATAATGTACAGAATGGTGATGATGATGTTGATTCTCTTAGTGTTTTATGGATGGAAATTTCAAAGTTTTTGTCACAAAAATGCGGTGAAATGTAAAATTTCAATTTTTCATGTGCTAAGTTCTCAAAATGTTGACACAATAAATTGCTTTTGGATTTTCGACGATGAAAATTTATTTTAAGGTACGAACAATTATTTTCAAGCTTTTCCTCTCTAGCTTGATGTTTTGTTTGAAAAGGATCATGAGTGTTCATATTCTTTTGTTGAAGATGATTTTGTAAATTTTCTATGAGATTTTAAAAGCTTTTTCCGAAAAAGTTTAATGCTTAAGGGAGGATTTTGGGTTGTGTGGTTGAAATTATCAGACAAACAAATATTTTTAAAATTTGATTTGATAGGTATTGGAGTGCATAATTCATTGAGAATGACCTTAGGGGCAAGAATGTCTTAAAAATTTCAGAATCTGAGAGATGAATTAAATTTTCTGAGTTTGACATAACCTCAAACTAGATTTAGTTTTAGATAACCAGCTATGACTAAGATCTAGTTAATAAGTTTGAATTTGTTGAGAATTGAACTTGCGTCATCAATAGAATTGATATTTAACTGATCGTTTAAAGAATTAACTTGCCTCACTCTATCAAACCGTAATAAACATCAAGACAATCTCATAACAAACTTCTCTTCCAGTTTTGTAATGTTTGGAAGGAAAAGAACAACATTTTAGTATGAATAATTTCTTATCTCTTAGCAGAACCACTGACATTCTCCAATCTTACGTTTATCAACTCTATATTCATATCTACAATCCAAAACCCATAAAACCTTCCTCGAAACTTTAAGATCGACAATCAATGATAAAGCAAAAATGAACTAAATCATACGGCGATCCAACCCTTTAAAATCTTGATCCTTTTTGTCTGTAAATAATGATAAAATCTTTTAATTATGAAACTTTTGAGTTTAATGGGTCATTTCTTCTTGCTCTTTTGAATCCACTCTCACACTTAACTGTTGCCGTCCTATCATTCTACAACTAATAACAATATAAACAACAGTTCAAGTGATAATCATTTAGTAATCAAGAGCCAGAATCAAGAAGAAAATGTTAAAAAACCTTAAATTAATCTTTTATGGAGAGGATGAATCCTTTCTTTCAAAATATACAAATTGATCATTGTCTTCTTATTTTTCTTTTGCGTGCTTAGCTTTGATAGAAGATTGAATCTAGTGAATAATTGAGTAGGTTGTGTTGGATTGTCTGAAAAATCAATAAAGTTCAATATTTGATGAATTTTAAAGCTTCACAAAAATAATTTATTGCATTCAATTGAGCTGATAAAATCTCATTATAATAGTTTTGTGTCTATTTTCGTATTTAATTAGAATTTCAATTTTTATTAATGATTAATAGCACATCCATAAATATTTTAAACAATAATCTGAAACAATTTTCATCAAGTTTGCTGTATTTTGTTGAGTATTATCAATTTTAATTATTACTTTGGACTATAAATAGCTTAGTCCAGCTTAGTCTAGTTCATTTAATGTTTTAATGACATTATAGTCAAAAGTAGGGATTCAAA